CAGTTAATTAAAATCGTAAAAGTATTTTTTTTTTAATTTGTAAATTAGCTTTAAAAAAATAAAAACTGTTTTATATATTTAGTTTCAAAAAATATCCATTTATTTAATCCCATATCCACAAGTTTATTAAATATCGAAGAATATTAATAAATAATAAATGAAATAATTTTTAAAGTAATAGATTTCTTAGAAACATTTTAAAATAATAAGTTAGATGTAAATAAATCATTTAAATAATATTTTAAGACTATCCAGTATAGAAATGAACGGATTTTTATATATAAAAATATCGTTAACATCGTTTAAAATAGTTTTAAAATTTTTATAAATTATTGATATTTAATTTATAATAAAGCTTTTATTTTAAATTAAAACAACAGCATTTATAAATAAATTAACGCAAAAACATTAATAAATAATCTAAAAAACTAATTCTAAAAAATTAACTTAGCAAATTTTGCTTTTATAATTTAAAATAATAACACAATCGAACCTCCAACAACGGTCACTTCTAAGCAGCGGCCATTTTTTCGGAAACATTTTTTAAAATAAAATGGAATACGAAATAACCTTCAAATTACGTCTATCTCCAAACAAAGGCATTTTTTTTTTTTTTTTATGTTCCCGTCAGTGGCCGTTGTTGAAAGGTTTGATTATAACATATTATTTTTTAACATAAAATTTCTTTAATCTAATTCAAGTGCGAACGAATATGGAAGTAAGATGCCTATTAACCGTGTTTTGCTTGTGTTTCTCCAAGTAGGCTACACTTGTGATTATGAATCGTAAACTGAATTTAAAAAATATGTTTTTCGTTTATAAAATTATTGGAAACCTGATAATAAGCATAAGTACGTAATTAGATAAGACAACAATTTAGTCTTTATAATAATTAGCTAACTTTTGTGCTCCCTTATATATATATAACCTATGTATAAGATCATACAAGGATAATCAAGATAAGACCATTTTATTCAATTTCTTTAAACAAATTTTATCAAAATTGTTCAAAATATCCACACTATTGTCATAAAATAATTAACACAATAATTGTACGTATTAGAATTATATAGTACAGTACTTTGTTCTTTACAATGGTTAACTTGTCTTTTGGGTCTCCCTGTATACGATTAGGCTAATAAAGTTTTCAAAGATTTTGGTAAAGGTATCCGATATTGAAGATCCCACTGGTATAATGTTTTTAATTTTTTTACTTTAAATAATTTAAAATTTATTTTTACAAGAATATGATAGGAGAAAAGTATTCGCACTTCATTAATTCTGTCTCGGTTTTCAACACAGACAATACTGAGGTCGTTTCGATTAAATAGGCCACACTGCACTGGGAATAACTTAGAAAATAATAACTTTACATTGACTATGCATTATAAATAACATTTTTATTTAATCTTCATATATCAATATTTAATAAACTTAAGTTTTAATGAATATAAATAACGAAAGGAGTTAATTAATATTCGTAAAACTTAAAGGAAACAAGATCAATAATAAAAAGTTTAGTAAATTTATATCATAAATTATATATAATTTATGAGCTTTGACGTTTTATTATTTATAATCGCTAAGAATGTAACATTCATTCCATCTGATGAATAATTTGTTGCATCCAGCTCCAATAAAAAGTGAAGTATCTGAAAACTTCTTTTATCTGAACAGACACAGAAAAGCACCAAAATTTAATTTGTTATGTAAAAAGATAATACAAAATTGATATGTATTAGAACTTTTATACAAAATAGTGAAAAAAAACTAATTTATATTACTCAAAATACAGTAATATCACACTTAGACTTTATTTAATATTTCGACAAATTTCTATTTAACTTGCACCAAAGTCGGCAAGAAAGATTAATAATTAATTGTACTGTATGTAAAAACGATCACGTTCTAGCCACAGGAAACAGAAATATCAATAATGTGTTCTGAAATGGCCGAAAATAATAGTCTATCACACTTAGAGGTTACACACAAGAATCCTTTTTTCATCACAACTTTGAACAATCGATTAAAGCATTGACGCAATCAATTTTCGAATACGTTTCGTGAAGATTTGTTTCCATGCAGAGTTGTCAGTTTGGGGATAGAATTATATTGTTTACCTGCACCGTAGACAATATGATATAAATCATCCCAAAGGTTCTCAACACTGTTCAGATGCGGTGAACAGATCGCCTGTCAAGCAGGGTCACATCTATATTCTCAAAGAACTCTTCTCTAGACACTGGAAACCTGGCATTGTCCGATTAAAAAACCCGCAACTTTCTCTTAAAATTTCAATTGAGCACCAGCTATCTTCAGGCGATATTCGATTACCTGAAATGACCCCAAGTTTGTCGTTCCGCTATAACCGGAAATAATCCAAACCATCAGTGATCAACCTCAAAAACATGCTTTGTATTGGACATTTTATCCAATTTTTATCGGCCTAGTAAAAATTTTGTCCGTCAAGTTAAAAGTTTTTCGTATCCATAAATATTAGTTTTTGCCAGAAGATAACTCAAAAATGTTTCTAGGCAAATTCTAGGCTAGCTAACTTGTGTCTTTGAGCCATTAAGGCATGCTACATTTTGATAAATTTGACGTTTTCGGACAGGCTATCGGCATCAGTTATTCATCGAGCTCTGGCGCCTCGAAGAACATCTATTTAGAGAGTCTTCACATGAGATTTTCTGAAATGGCTTGTTTTCTTTAAGTGAAATGTTTATGATGGCACGCTTGTCCCTTGAAGTCACCCACTGTTGTAGACTTTTGACTTCTAAGATCCTCGTGGTACACGAATTTACAGATAATGAAACGATGTTTGTTCAATTTCTTAGCAATTTGTGTTGGTGTTAAATGGCACCCGTATCATAAGCTTGAATGTTGACCTTTTGTTCTGTATTAAGATCAATCTTACGCCCCAACAGCTTACAGAGTCGCGATTCTAATCATATTATTTAATAAACAACGAAATTAATCGCTTCATAATTTGCTTATTAAATAGTTTATTAATTATTATTACTAAATTAATTAAAGTCAGCGTGATATTGCTTTGATACGAAGTAATATATAGACTATAGCTTTCATGTAAACTGAAACCTATAGCCTATATATTAACATAAACAGGATGTAGACTGAAGATATAAATTTTAAATTCATAAAAGTAAAAATAATAAAAAATTATATAAGTTTAGTTGTAAAAAAATAATATCTTTTTACTTCATAAACTTTAAATTTTTAATTATTTATTTATTTTCAATATTCTTAAAACTTTGTTTTTGTTTATATGAGTTGAAGAATGTTCTCTATATCAACGCTTCCTTTAATCTTTCATATTTTAAAAATGTTTATAAAACAAAAACATAGACTTTTTTAAAAAAAATAATTTGACTAATGAATATTAAATTCATAAGAAATATTTAAAAAACAAACATCCATAAAAATAAAAAGAATAATTAAAAATATATTAAATTTTTATGCATTATTTTTTATTTTCAACATTTTTTCAAAAAACTTGTTTTCACTTACTTGAGTTGGAATGATATTTTTATAAGTTACATCAAAATTTACTTAAATCTTTTATGTATTAAAAATATTTATTAAATAAAAACAGAGTTTAAAAAAGAAGAAAAAAGATTTTTATAAGATTTGATTTACTTTTTTTTTATAAAAATAATTTTAGGTTAAATCAATAAAAAAAATTCAAAGCACAATAAACAACATTATTTACAGTGCACCTNTTCGTTTATTCATTTAAATAACTTGGAAAATTAATCACGTATAATCTCTGTCAATCCAAGGATATGGAGAAAGTAAAATTCGATTTGTGGCACACGTCGAGAATTTTATTAGATGTACCTGTACAGGAAATAAAGTTTAATAAAGGAAATAAAGATTAAGAAATTTAGATAATGATAAAGTTTATAGAAATTTGATTTCTGTCTCTTTTAATGCTAATGTTGAATAGAATATTCTTGTATTTCAAACATAGGGATACCTCGTAACTTAACATTCGATGATAATTTTAAGAGTTTAATAGTGTGTGTAATTAAAACCTAAGTTAATAAAGTAAGTATTTAATTGTTAAAATTATGCATATTTTTATTATTCTAACATGAAAAATATTATTTTATTTTTCACATAAACCCTATTTAAATCTTGCTATACAGCATCCATTTTCAACATAACTAAGATATATAATTAGTATAAAAATCGAAATAATAATATAACTAAATAACAAATCAAAAAAATTAATAAAGCGTTAATTTAGATTCATATGAAACATATATTAAAGTAAATTATACATTATAATTTACACCGTTTATAGGCTTAAAAATACTTCCTAAAATAACATATATTATTTTATAAAATCCCTTAAATAATTTAATATAATAAATAAAATATTATATATAAACTACAATAAGAATTGTAATTTTTATTGACAAGATCGTTTAGGAAAAGATCAATATAGAGTACGTTAGGAAAAATGTTTTCCTAGAACATCTCTTACAATAATCGCAATAAAATATCTTTTATTTACTTTCGAGATAATCGATATTATCGATTTAATGAATGAAAAAAATATATTGTTATTAGGATTTTTACTTTTAATTTAAATAAAACGTATAAGGGGAAAAACCCCTTACCAAAATTTTGTGTTTCGTCCTTCAACCAATCTAAAACAGCTGGTTTCACATAGAAGACTTCCCACCCATAAGAATGAGCACTGATTCTTCTCACGTCCAAAATTTTGTTACCAGTTTCCTTGTATTTGTTATCTGCAGACATGACTTGGTATACTCGAACCTGTCAACAGAAACAACCCATTAATTATATTGTCAAAGTCTAGCTAGATTTATATGTATTCAACCTAACGTAAAAGTATAACAAACTTTAATAACTGTTACTACTTTGATACAATTTATAGACCTATAAAAATTGTTATTTTATTTATTTTTCTTCTAACTTTCGTTTTTTCTAAAAAGCCAAAATGAGAAAGGTATAACTAACTGGTTATCATTAAATTACTGCATTTATAAAGTAATATAATCTATAAAAAAGATTATATTATTTATTTTGTTTTTTTTTTGTTTTTTTTAAATAAATTTAACCGTCTACCTTCTAAAACTAGCTCTTTTATTTTATAAAAATACTTCTGTTTTCTAAAGAAAACCACAGATAAAAAAAGTATACCCGTGTAATATTTTGTGTATTATTTATTACATATTATTTTATAATATAAAATTACAACTATTATTTAATATATTATTGCTATTTTATTTACTTTTCTTATAAAAATAACCTTCTATTTTCTAAAAAAATAACACCAAAAATGAGAAAATATAACTAAGTCCTAGTCTCTAAAATATTGTCTTTATAAATTAATTAATGTAGCATTTAAATATATTACATTATATAATACTAGCAGACCCCGCCACGCCTTGTTGTGGCTCAAAATGTATCTATTATAAATGTATAACACTTCCCCCGTGGGGGAAAATTTTTCGAAAAATCCCTTCTTAGTGTACATTCTGTTGACGTACCCTATTAAAACGCAATCAAAAACGCAAGAAACCGCATCTAAAATACTATAAATAGAAGCAGAGTCCTTTACGGTAAGCCTTCCCCGTAAGGCTTACCGTAAAGAACTGTCCATCTCCCATGTTTAACGGAATAATATACAGCCTATGTTCACCCTGAAGTTCCATTCTAAATATTGGTGAAAGAATTTTTGAAATCGGATGAGTAGTTTCGGAGATTACCTGCTGCATACAAACTAACATA